GGAGAAGAAGCGAGTGACACTCTCTTCAGATTATACGCAGAAACTGCGTTTGTGTGCCCAGAGCATGCGCAGTCCTTGATTATATAGCCTGCTCGTGTTGCCGACGGACTTCAAGTAGCAACGGCAGTACTCCTAGGTCCTTCACAGAGTATGTGGGATGTAGCAGTTGGCTGTCGAGAGTGTAGGTTCGGCCGTCACCACCCTTCCCCAGGCTCATGAATACCAATTTGAATGAGTTGACCGGGAAGCGGACTTCTGGAGATCACATGGAAAGTCGGTTTAGGTCTTCTTGAAGTAAGCCGCAGTCGTCGGATGTGTTTTTCACTCTTCACAAACAAAGCAAACAGGGCACATGGTGACCGAAGAAACTGTGGTAGGTCGTTGATATAAATCAGGAACAGTGTAGGCCTCAGCATCGTGCCTTGGGGTACGCCACTAGTCGAAAGATACCAGTCGGTCAGGTGGCTATTGACTTGTACTCTCCACTTTCGTCCAATGAGGAAGTCCCGGATCCACTGGTTCAGAGCTCCACTAACACCACATACCCTCAGCTTGAGAAGGAGGACTTCATGGTTCACCTTGTCGGACGCTTTGCTGAAATCCGTGTAAATCACGTCGATAGACTTCCTTTGCTTCGCTGCTGGCAGCCATTCATGCCTCGTCACGAGCAGGTTGGTGACGTATGAACGACCTGGTGTGAAACTGCTGTGCGGACATCAGGTGATCTTTTGACCATAACAGCTGTAGCAAACGCTTCTTCACGATCTTCTCTGCAATCTTTGCCAGAATAGATCATAAACAAATTGACCTGTACTTGTCTAATTTGCTTGGGTCACCGCCTTTTGCAATCGGTCCTACCACCGAGCGTTTCCAATCAATCGGCAAGGTACCTTCGGACAAAGACCTGTTGAACAGGTCATTTGCGGCAGGCGAGATTATGGTCGATAAGGACTTGAGAATCGGTCATACCTAGACCCAGCGGACTTGTTGTCGTCAAGATTGTCAAACAGCTGACGCATCTTTTCCACAATCCAGATTGTCGAATTTGGTAAGGGTTCTGCACACCGAACTCGTCACGGACACCTGGTCATTTGCAAACACAGAAGCTGGCTGGCTTGCAGAACAACCTCCTCGTGGTGCCAGCTGGGTGATTCGGGATTATCCCGTTCCAGCGAGTGGTTCAGCGGCAGTGTACCAGAATGTGGTGGGTTTTCACTTGACAAGCGTTCTCCCTATAAAAAGCAACATATGTCCGTTCAACAACACTGTGATGTGGCGGATGTGACTCGTCACTGAATAAAGTCATTGCCCCTTTACCCTCTCTGAGTGACATCGTAATTCAAGGGTGTGTTGGGCCTCCGGTCATATGCGGTTTTAAAGGCGGAAGAACCACTAGTTTGGTCACCGGCTCCCCACAGTTTGCGATTCCCTCATATCGCCCCGCTGCCTTGTAGCTTAGATCCTGGATCAAAGGCTTGGGTGGGATCACTTAAGTCAACCCTCTGCCTCGGTCTGGGCAACCGGGTAGTAGCACGCCCACTGATGAACCATGGATCGATTACACTACTGCTTTCCCTCTTGCTATGTCCACTGGCTTTACTGTCTCTGCTACTCAGCATCCACTCACAGATCATCCTACGTCCTGTTCCCCAACTGCATCTATTGTAGAGGGGCCGCTTCCAAGAATGGCTCTGGGGAGCTCTTCGGAGCTAGCTGAGAGCGGATCGCGAAAGACGGCTAGCGACGAGCCTGGGCCCGGAACTACGGAGCGGGAATATGTGGACAGCGCAATAAATCAGACAAATACGCCGCTAGCGCAGCCCACAGGACCGAGGCCGAGCCGATTGACACAGCCCAGAACAAGCAAGTCGAGAGCTCTCGAACGACTCCTGGCCGATCCAAATCGGGTGCAGAGAAGCGGAGATCGAGGCGAAAACAGGAAGGCGGATCTTCCAAGTCAGAGCTCCCGAGGCGAAAGGACTGGCTCGTCTCTAACATCCGTACCTGTGTTGTGTTGTGGGACGGAAAGCTAGTCGATATTCGATGGCGCGCGCGAGACCCTGATGTGCCCATTTTCGGTGTGCAATAAACGTCTACCCCCCTTGTCTTGTCGTTCTCGCTACACTATGTCTTCCCCGGTCACCGTCAATAACAGCTCACTAGTCGCATCAGACACAGTTCTGAGCCAAACGTTTGGTGTTTGCTGCCCGGTGTTCACATCTCACAGCCGAATCCCAAGCTTTCCTTCGTCCTGGTTCTCCATTTGGCCTTGCAGCGTTCAATGTGCGCACTTTGATGCAGATCGGACGACAACCATGTTTGGCCCACAATCTTTAAACACTATCGGTGGACATCTGTTGCCTTTCCGAAACCAGGTTGCAAGATACCAGTACCGTGATCAGAGTGACATCTTTGGCAAACTCTGACGTTCAATACCATATGCGGCTTTCGGGGGATCCAGAGACTGCTGCTTCTAGCAAGGCTGTGTTGGGGTTTCACTGAGGGACAAGGCTGAGACTGCTCTGCTTGACTGGATCCTAGCCAACAGTCGGCTGTGTGCGGTCAAACTACGAGGTTCCTGTAAAGTAAACGTCGGGAGATTAAGCGTGTTGTGTTTGCCATCCCCGCCTACACTCCCACAGACTGAAGCCTGGATACAATCACGGATTGCATTTATCAGTAACTACATGACCTTCTGCGTTACTCCAAAAAGTCTGACACTGCCATTCTTGCCGGAGATTTTAACGCACGAGTGGGCCGCCTGCCAATAAGCGAGCACCATATTGGGAGGTAGTCGATGGGACAATGGAGACAGGCTACTGACCCTTTGTTCTGATCATCGCTTGTTTCCTTCGAGCACCACTTTTCATCACTCAAAGAGACAGGTGGCTACCTGACGCTTGCCTTCTCAAACGCATGAGTGCTCCCAGCTTCACCACATAACAATAAGCAACAGATGGCACGGAGGCGTAACAGACTTCCAATCGTACTGGTCAACTTGTCTGGACTCCGCTCACGCACTGGTTCACGTTAATGTTTGCATGCGCTTCGGAGGATCGCCCAGACGTACGCAATACCGACTGAACATTGAAAATATAGAAGACCCTACGACGTTATCAAAATACCAAACCACTCTACCGACATTGCTAGCCTCAGATTCTGACGATGATCTGAAACCACAATAGGTGCGAATCAAAAATATCTTAGTTACTGTCAGGATTGATAGTTGTGGAGCTGCGCGTCAACCACTGAAAAGATGGATTGCCGCTGTCTCGTAATCGCCGATTGACGGACGCTGCTTGATCCCGGTCGGCACCAGCTGTAGTGTGGAACGCTGACCTCTAGATCGAGCGTTGCGTAGGAGCTTACAGAAGGACCGTGAGATCTGGTGATGTGAACATGCTAGAGATCTTGAACTTGCTAATCTCTCTGGTAATACCAGAAAACTGTTCCACCTCATCGGAGTCACCGAAGGCTTCCGATCAGGATTAAGCGAAGCAATCTATGAAGATGATGGCTCCCTAATCACTAATCTTCAACGACGGTTGGAGCGATGGGCCGAACAGTTTCGCTCGCAGTTTTCCTGGCCACCAGCTCCATCTGTATCCCCTGGGGCGCGCACTGATGATGAGTGGACTATGCCAACTGATCTTCCCTCTCACCAGGAAATCTGGAGGGAACTCTGCTGCCTAAAGCGTTTTAAGGCACTCCGCCATGTTGGTCCACCTCCCGCTTTATTTAAAGATGGGACTCTTCGCTGCTGGAAGATACTGTTTGCGAAACACAACTGTATCTTTTGATCTGTAACTAGGCGCAAGCCGACTCCCGAGACATAAATGATTCACAGATCCATTGTGTAATACGCACCGGTCAGCGTAATGATGCGCAGTAGTTCCCATGCGGCTTCTTGGTCACACCACAGACAACTATGACCGGCCATTCTATGCGCAACGCAATTTTGTTCCCCACGCAATAGTTACCACGGGTAAGCGCCTAGACCGCGGCCATTTACGTCATAATAGAAGTACCGAAGTACTCCGATCTGCTTTAGCGACTATCAGCCGTGACATTGGCGCAGCTTACATCTTAGCCAGCAGTTGGTGTCCTCAAGCATTAACATTCTCACCTCGTCATCGCGCGGATGACAACGTTTGGCCACACACGCCTACATTACTTACTTACTTACCTGGCCCCTTAAAGCAGCGGACCTAAAGAGGCTAGTTACGTCCGACCACCGGTGCCTTCGCAATTTAGCTCACATCTGGTAGGAAGACCACGTGAGCAACCGGCGTGTTCGACGCCTTGTTTATGACACAGAAAAGGAAATGAACCGCTCAGTACCGTTATTTCACGCACCAGGCTCCAATGATTCGGCCAAGTGTTACGCATGCCAGCCCACCGACTCCCGCGACGTGCGTTGTTTGTGCGCCGGGGGTGTGGATGGAAGAAGAGGAGGGGTGGCCAATCGATGACTTGGTCGAGAGGAATGAAGGCCCTCACTTCTGAGCTGGCCTCGGTTGGAGCGTCTCGGTTCCCTGGTTGGGGTCCGAAAGACGATGAACACGTTTGGCTAGATACACTTGTTGATATGGCTAGGAGCCGACCTCAGTGGCGTTCGTGCTGTGCGTTTCTTTGTCACTCCCCATCTCTTTTAACCTCCCCTCCAACCACGATCTCACTATTTAGCCTTATATAATTTTGCATAGTAATTTTTTTGATGTACAGTAGCCGGCTGGTAGCTTACCGGAACGATGCCCATCCGTTACCGGTAGCTAAGCTGGCTTGCACCAATTGCATTTTTTCTCCTTTTTTCTATGTATTGCGGCACAATAGCTGATGTGTTTCCCACCTCTAGCTGACGTGTATGATGATGACATTACTTACAACACCCACCCCCATGTTCAACTGACGGAGGCCGGCCGAACAATGAGGCCAATATACAACTGTGCGTGCAATCACGGCCGATGCTAACGTCACGAACCTGAGAGGGTAACAAACGATTTCGCTTCGTGATCAAACGAATTTAATTCAACTATTCACGAACATAGGTGGAAAATGGTATAGTGCGTGACACACAGACAGAAGGGCCATCATTGTCATCGTAGTAATACTGCCGTATACTAATATCTGCGGCGCAAGAAAATGCGCCCTCGAGAGAGATAAAACCGAAGAGGGCGATATACATTGAGTATCACTTGTTATATAAACTATATGAGCTGTACATGAGAATTCTATTCAATCACAATAGTTGCCCCGGCGGATTCCAGCGTCTTTTTGATTTCCTCAGCCTCATCCTTGCTCACGTCAGTTTTCAAGTCTCCAGGCGCAGACTGAACAAAAAGAAAAGAGACGTGTGTGTTGATCGGCAACTGCGGAAATGGTCTGTGGATGAGAAAAAATGGGCAATGCCTAGTACACTTTCAGTAGCTATTATCAGAAACGAACATACTGCACTGTTGCCGTGCCATTATGTATTGGTGATTTATGCAAGCGTTATGATCGAAGGGAAGTGGAGCGAGAGAGATAAAACATCTACGAACAATAGTCCAGATGCCAACGTCTTGGAGCCATTACTCATTCATAAGCTGATAAGCGCGTTGGGACAAATGCGTTCGCATAACAGGTATCGTCCAGCTTTCGATGGCTATCTTACTCAAAGCTGATTCGTAAACAAAGTGACAATAAAGCACGCAAGTTCAGAGGACAATCTTAACAGGTGACCAGTAGTAATGTCGCCGGTAACAAGTTAGTATCAAATCTCCCTTAGGGCTACAAGCAGATTAAGAATAAATAACTAATAATCCAAGGGCAATATTTAAAATCGTCTGATGGGGTAGCCAAGAACCGGAAATAAGAAAATGTAACAGCGTCACTGAATTCGTTAGTGCACCATGTCTGATTGTCTGTCTAACCACGGGTGTGGTTGATCACGAATTTTTATTCAGGATGATGAGTAGTGTCAGTTATGTATAGAACGGGCCTTCATCATCAGTTGGCAATCACGAGTTTTGCACCCAGCACGGGCGAATATTTGGCTGCAACAACACACTTCCGGCAATGCACCGAAAAAACGAACTCTACGAAACAGTGCCATAAAAAGGCTTGACAAAATGTGGGGACGACATCGGCTTATCAGTTCTCGAACGACAAAGCTAAACTCCAGCGAAAAAAACGATAGATAAGGTAGAAGAAATTGACAGACATCTAGCTTGCATCGGCATGCAACTTTGACGCTAGCATTTTACAAGGATCCAAGTGTGTGGATAAAACTACATTAGCGAACGTAGGGATCGGAACAACACTACATTTGCATAACTATTATAATGCTCTGATAATTATCGTGAAACGGTTAGCCAGAAGACCAGAAAAATGAATGGAGAGCAGTACGCCCAGTGGGGAAAAACACAAACGTTGGCAAAACGAAGTATCATGTCACAAGGGACGGAGGAGATTCTACGCCGACTTTTGTAGATGATATATCTACATTAAGTGTCCAGGATTAATCCTAGTTCCATATCGCACCAACGCGCCTAGATTATGCAGAAGAGTGCGATGCTTCCCCGCAATATGGTGCTAAAGGCATACGGTGAGGAGGTGCAATGAAAAAAGAACATTATAACACTTTGATGCGTCAAAAGAGAGATTACGAGCTTAGGATCAAACAGTAAGATCAATCAGAATAGTCAAATTAGTATAAGCTTTGTGTACCCAAAAGGGTGCATTTTCAGCATTTACATTATCAGCTGTAAATTTACTTATGTGTTACCATTAAAAATGTAAAGTTTACAAAAGGGTAGAAAATTGAGGATTCACTGTCATTGATCGGTCAAGCAACGATTCCAAAAAGCTGAACTAAATCTTCAGGATCTGTATCCATTGAAAACGGAAAAGGTTTCGTAAAATTGTTTCTTCAGAATTCGTTTCAATTGACGTAGAATTTGTGTCCACAGACAAAAGATCGCGGATCGTGTGCGATATCTGACGTGTGTGTTCGAAGTTGGATGGGGTTAAGAGCCTCAGTGACCTTGGAAGTTGTTTGAACAAAATATCTGTCAGCGTAATCGTGCAATACTGAGATATATACAGTAGATAATGTAAAAATGATGTTCGGCGAAAAAGGCAACGGCCGATTTAAAGGCCCCGCCCACAAAAATGGCTGAGTAAGCAGCGGTCCAGCGATTGATACCCAGAATGATGCCAACTGCGTAATTTATCAGGGTTAGTTCTTCAAGAACTGGTATTAAACCGAGGTAAGTATACGAAGTCGAGTAACCTAAGTGCGTCTAAGTAAATAGTCACGTAGCAAGTGAACGATGTCATCTCATGTTTGGTACCGTAAAACCGAGTAACGTCGATCCACTTTTTTAGTTAGGAATGAACACACGTTTACCAGCGCTTTCGATAACCTTATTAAGTAATCTGTTTATGGGCTATAGTGTTATAATGCTGTAGCAAATATTGATTGCTGCGATTCTATACTCATAAGTCAGCTGTTTTAATGTATCTACTATGGCCAAAGTATCCCCGTTAAGAGAGATGACAACACATACACAGAACCAATGTCACATAACACAAGGGTAAGCAACGCCACCGTTTATATGCGAAAAACTTACAAAACACATCTATAACATCATTAAATACTTAATCGTTTCTCAAAAATGCTTTTACAAGTTCGACAAGCTTTCTTTGATGGTGGAACACATACGTCATCAGAATCAGAAAAGATTTATAGTCAGTTATCACTGACATCACCGACGGAAGATAAGTAATCGGCTTCTCTTAGATAAACTTTGGCTGCCGAATGTCACTTTCTGGTTCAGCACAAGGCTCTATACCGGTAACAATCTCCTCGGTGGGGCCCAAGACACTTTTTCTCGGCTGGACGTTCGGAGCTTTATTGCGTTGTGGTAAATTTTCTTCATCAGTGGCAAAGCGCATCTCCTTCAGTTGCTTGAATACCTAAGAAACGGAGGTGCTGATGGCATCCGTATTTTCTTCATTTTCCTCCGGAATTCTGCTCAGGACAGACTGGGGATGTATTGGGTATGTGCCAGTCTTTCTAAACCCCGACTGCAAGTCTTCTGCAATACCTTCATCCATGGCATCTAGAAGTTGTTTGATCAGCCCCGAAAACCTATACTTCGGGACGGTTTGGGCTATATTGCCGCAAGAGTTTTATATTTTGTCAGCATGGTCCTTCACTGGATCTTCTTAAACCGAAAGAATGCTACATCTAGATGCTGGCTTGCCGAACAACCTCCTCGTGGTGCCAGCTGGGTGGTTCGGGATTTTCCCGTTCCAGCAAATGGTTCGGCGGCAGTGTTCCAGGACGTGGTGGGTTTTCGCCTGGCAAGCGTTCTCTCTATAAAAAGCCACATATGTCCGTTTAACAACACTGTGACGTGGCGGACGTGACTCGCCACTAAATAAAGTCACTGTCCCTTGCTTCATCCTGGCGAAGCATTGTATTCCAGCAAGTTGATGCTGTAATTTCGGGGAGCATTGGGCCCCTGTTTGGCAAAGGAACAAACGAAAGGCGTATGAACTGATCAATCAGTCACCGGCTCCCAATGGGCGCGATTCCCTGAATTCGCTCCGCTGCCTTGCGGACAGGCTATTCAGCCAAAGGCTCGGGGTGGTATCCCCTAAGTCAACACCCTACTTCGGCTTGGGCAACTGGGTAGTATTTCGCCCTCTGACGAAACCGTGGAGATTGTTGTGTTGTGTTGTGTTTTCTTTTACTATTTCTGTACCTTGTTTTGAGTTCCATGGTTTCCGATGGTGCAATGTCTATTCATAGACTGTTGCAAATATATATATATATATATATATATATATATATATATATATATATATATATATATATATATATATATATATATATATATATATATATATATAGATGCTGGTAGAGGTGGGTCGAATTAGGTAGAAGGTAACAAACAGTAATGTTGTTTTTAATGCAGAGCCTGACGATGCCAACAGAGAAAAATGTGAACTGAGATTGTCACCTAAAATGTATTCAACGGCGTTTTTTCCGTGACAGAAAGTTAATGCCACTTGCTGAAATCAGCCTAAAAAGTACGTGTTGTCAAATCAGCCCGTGCGCCTGGTGAACCATTCTCCGTCCAAGGGCTCAAAACATTTCGACTATGCACATCACATATGGCGGCAGTAATTCTCCATCACCGGTAAGAGCGAACATCAGACTAATTGCTGACTTTGACGAGTTCACAATCCCTTCATAGTATTTGGTGCCTTTTTCAAAGATTACTTGGCCAACTGGCCCAATTTACCCCAAAAAGACAGCTTGTTCGGGTAACATTGGTAACCAAGACAGTAACGTAATGCATGATAAATGCGTTAGGATAACATCAAATATACTCACTATAACTTATTCACAAAGGGACAACAGAGATGGTTGTACTGACACTTTCTTAGAAACATGATTCACTGACGAAAGTATACTGTATGTTAATCATCATCATCATACACGTTAGCTAGAGGTGGGAAACACCTCAGCTACTGTACCGCAATACATAAAAAAAGGAGAAAAAATGCAATTGGTGCAAGCCAGCTGAGCTACCGGTAACGCATGGGCATCGTTCCGGTAAGCTACAAGCCGGCTACTGTGCATCAAAAAAATACTATGCGAAATTATATAAAGCTAAGTAATGAGATCGTGGTTGGAGGGGGAGGCTAAGAGGGATGGGGTGGGACAAAGAAACTCACAGCACGAACGCCACTGAGGTCGGCTCCTAGCCATATCAGCAAGTGTGTCCAACCAAACGTGTTTATTGTCTTCCGGACCCCAACCAGGGAACCGAGACGCTCCAGTCGAGGCCAGCTCAGAAGTGAGGGCCTTCATTCCTCTCGACCAAGTCATCGCTTGGCCACCCCTCTTCTTCCATCCACACCCGCGGCGCGCAAACAACGCACGTCGCGGGAGTCGGTGGGCTGGCATGCGTAACATGTGGCCGAGCCATCAGAGCCTGGTGCGTGAAATAACGGTGCTGAGCGGTTCATTTCCTTTTCCTGTGCCGTAAACAAGGCGTCTAACATGCTCGTTGCTCACGCGGTCTTCCCACCAGATGTGAGCTAAATTACGAAGGCACTGGTGGTCGAACGTAACTAACCTCTTCAGGTCCGCTGCTTTAAGTGGCCAGGTTTCACAACCGTACAGTAGGGTCGAACGTACTGCTGCATTGTACACTCTACCCTTCAGGGCAAGAGTGATGTCGCGCCGCCGCCATAGGTGGCGAAGGATAGCAAAAGCACTTCGCGCTTTTGCTATACGGTTCGTGATCTCATCCTCAATCCCACGGGTGCT